TGGAATTCTTGCCTGCTTAAACAATTGCTCTTAAATATTTCATCATGAAACAGGGGAAGATGAAATTAAAAATACGATGAGTCGTAGCCCAGGCATGGCTCAGCCGAGGGCTTGGTGACCTGCCAGACTCCTGGGGGATGCTTTTAATTTGGATAAATGGAAGTTGCATAAATGGTATAAATTACACATTGCTCTTGCTGCTAATACAGAGGTGTGGGTGCTGTTGGCAGCGCCGCCCAATGCGCCGTTGCCGGCTGAGTGCCCAGCCAGGCTGCGTGCCGGGGCCGGCGCATCCATCGCCCCTGCGCAGCTCCCACCCCGGGTGTCTGCACCCGGCTGTGGGCAGGCTCCTTCGCTTGGACGCCACTCCCTTTGCCCTCTACCCTGCTAGGGTTTTTGGTTTTTTTTTTTTTGGAGCGGCTGTTTTCCAAAAACAGCTCGAAAATATGTAACTATCATACCAGAGCTGAGCGGTCACACGTAGGTCTCCCATCCCTGCCGGTCAGGCCAGTCCCTATGAGCTCATGGTGTTTGTGGTTTCCCAAAGCAGCTGTTCAGCACTGGAAGGAAAAACGCTGAGCAGCTGCAGAGACTGGGATTGCTTCTGTGTGGGAGCTGCCGTCGGGGGAGACGCGGCCTCCAAGGTCTCAGGCGGTTTTATTCCCAGCTCTGCTGCTGATAAGCCCGATAGCCTTAACGCTTCCAGCCTGGTAAAATGGGGAAAACTGTGGTGCGTGGGGTTTGGGGGGGGTTCCTGCTTTGGGCTGGCATGGGGCTGGGCGAGCGATGGACATAGGGTCCCCACCGATGGCGTGGGAACCTCCTTGTGAGCCGGCCTGGCTGCCGAGGGATGAACACCGAAAGCCTTTTAAAAATTACCTAAGACTTCCCAGTCTGCCTAAACCAGGGAAAATTGGCAGACCTCAAACACTCCCTGCCTTGTCTCATCTCTCCCAGCCAGCCAGCATGTGCCAAGGCCGGACTGAGTAATCTGGCAGGCAGCATGGGCTCGGGCGAGACAGCGCGTGTGCATCACCGTGCCGGCGGCTGCCTGCGCTCAACACCACGACTCGTGGCGGAAAGGCACACAGGGCTGATGCTGGGAGCCACTGCGTGTGCTGGGCAGAGCAGGGACCCCCATGGCCATCAATGTGGGGAGCAGCCCAGCCAGCCTTGTGTTCCCACCACCACGCTGGTGACCGAGGTGTGGAGCTCAGCTGGCCTCCCCGAGCCTGGACCGCAGATGGGACAGACAGGAGGAGATGTGGGGTTGGGTGGCGGGCTCAGTGATGGGAGGTCTGGCTCTGTTAGCAAATCCATATATGCCATCACCTTGAAGGTAGGTCCTTGAAGGTGATAGGAAAAGCAGCACGTTGCTCAGCCAAGGCACTCTTCACTACCTCCTACCCGGGTGCAGGAGCATCCAGGATGTGGGAGCCACATCTCCCCCGTAGCATCCTACCCAAATCTTGAGGCCACCCCTGCACACACACACCAGCCGCCTGCCGGACCTGAAGGGGTGTCCCTGCCATGGCTGAGCTTGCGAGATACCAAAATGCTCCCTGCCTCAGCAACACCCTTCCTCCCACATGATGCCCCATGGAGCGCAGGGCCACGGGATGATGGGTGCCCTGAGCCAGCCCCACGCACCCTTCCCCGGGGTTGGAGCTGGGCTCAGCCCCCCCAGCCGGGGTGGCAGCGGGTGCAAGCAGCGCACTGGCACGTGGCTGGTAAAAGCCACAGGCCTGGCGGTGGGCAGGGCTGGCACCCGCACTGGCACCCTCTCCTGCCCCATGGTGGGACCCCACTGTCCATGAGGCTTCCTGACACCTCTCCCCTGCTCCCCCCCTCCATGTTGCAGCACCTTGGGGTGATTGTAGCTGCAAATTGGACCAGGACTTGGTGGAGGGGTCTTAGGGAGGACCCCGGAGCCTTGGAGGCACACAGGGTGTAGTATGGGGGCTGGAAGGGCTATGGCTGGAGGATTGGGGTGTCCCGGGGGGGTGTCCTGGGATGGTAGGGGGGTCCTGAAGTTTGAATTCTGGCCGTGTTTGGGGGGTCCTGAGGCATGGGTTCCCGGCAGAGATGGGGAAGCCTGGGGTAGAGCATCCTGGGCAAA